TTAATATTAACATATTTTTGCAAAGTTTTTTTTTCCGTTTTTAATCGTCAACAAAATTGTTTTATCCTTCTCTCACGGTTCATTTTAGCCTTGAAACATTAACGTATTTTTTATTTTTTTTATTAAAAGATGAGACACCAAAAACTCTAAAAAATCTCAAAAAATTCGTCCTCAAGTGTTTTTATAGCCAAAAAAAGTAAATTAAAAATTTTATCTACCTAATAGAAGAAGGTATTTAAAGAAAAAGGTGGCAAAAAAATTAAAAAAATATTTAAAACATTAAAAATTAATCGTTTAAAGTGCGCGATGTGAGCGCTAGATGTTTAATAAACGTAAGGACATGGCAATAAAAATAAGAAAAAAAAATTGAAAAAATTTAGAAATAAAAATAAAGGTGCTAAATAATATTTGAGACTAAGGGAAAATTGAAAGGATTTAATTTAAAAAAATTAAAAAAAAATAATTATTTTTGTAAAATATTTAGGGTTTGTGAGGATGCACCTTAACACTTCAAAAATTAATATTTTTGTGAAGGAAAAAGATTTTTGAATATTTTAAAAAGCTAAGGTGTTCCGGAAAGTGTGTTTTATTTAATAAAAATATTTCAAAAATTATCCGACTAGGAAAACTTGGAGAAATATGGAGAGAACTAGCTTTAGGGGTGGAGGAGGGGAGTGACCACAAATCGTCTAAAAATCAGAAATAAATCAGAATTAAATTTAGTTAATATTTTAAAGTGTTAAAATGTTCCGAAAAGTGTGTTTTATTTAATAAAAATATTTTTTTTAAATCAGAATCTTGAAAAGACCGAAAATCCCACATAAGCGTCATGGACCTCAACATTTTCTAAAAATCATAACTCCTTTATAAAAAATTATTTTTTAAAAATTTAAAAAGAAAATCTACTCAAAAAAAGTGCTCTATTTTTTAAAAATATTAAAAGATTAATTTATTTAAAGAAAAAACTGGAAAATTGAAAAATAGAGGAAATTACAGTTGTCTCATTTCGAAATGAGATTTTTTATATAATTAATTATTAATCATAAATACATATTTGTGTAATTTCCCACCCGTGTAAAGAAAGCGGATTGTTTCCAGCTTTCTTTGGTTTTTACAATTTCATTCTAAAAATATTCTCAACTTCAATAAAATAAAATAATATGTTCGCTTTTTAATAAAATAAATATTTTTTGTGAAAGAAATTGATTTTAATAGGAAGAGAAATTTCTAGGAAATTAAGTTTGAGAAAAGAAAATTTGAGTTAAATTTACTTAAATTGAATAATTTGGAAAAGCTCAGCCGGTGAGAATGTCGGCACCCTTTCGTAACCAAATCCGGCTTCTCGTTCAAGAAGCGGAGGAATTATTGGAAGACCCCAAGTCCTTTGTTCTCCCAGTGCAGACTGGAAGTATATCCCGATTTCACGCACAAATACGCTCCCTTATTACTTCCCTTGACTCAGAATCCCAAATCGTGACTGAATTATTTGACAACATTACTAATGAAAATGACAGATGGATGGCCACGAGAACGTCTATGACTGGAGCTGAAAGACTGGCGGACAACCCAATTTATGATGAATTTGTCACAGACGTGCCTTATCCCACCACATTACGTAAATTAATGAAATATAACAGAAAACTCCACTCTGAAAGAGGGACATTATCAGCAAATTTGCCCGACCCCTCCCAAACCACCGACACTCTATTCCATCTCCCAAAACTGTCCCTTCCTAAATTTAGCGGTAAATGCGTGGAGTTCACCTCATTCTGGAATGCCTTCCGAGTCGGAGTCCATGATCTCTCTAATATTTCGGACTCGGTGAAATTTAATTATTTGAAAGAATGTCTCGAAGGTCCCCCTCTCCTACTAGTAAAATCCCTTCCCCTCACAGAAGCTTCTTACCACGAAGCAATCCGCTTAATTCATGAGAATTTTGGCAATATAAACGAAATTAACCGTACTCTCCACCACGCCATCCGAAAATTACCCGTCGTTCACTCTGTGAACGGTCCCGAAATTTTATGTACTGAATTACGATCTTTCGTCGACCAATTCGAATCGCTTTATTTGCAAATGCTTGAACAACACTTTGATGTAAATACTCTGCCCGTTCAAATGGAACTCGAATCGAAATTACCCCCTCAAATTTTAGAAGAAGTGTTCAGAGACAAAGAAACTCATGGACAAGACTGGAACACGGACCAACTTCGCAACACTTTGAAGTCAATATTAAAAAGAAAAGAAGGTGTAAAAGCCCTTAGAGACCAGAAGAAGGAACTTAATACACAGGACAGGCCCTCTAATTCTCCCAAACAGTTCAGGCAAGTTGGAAATTTTCGTTCCCCAAATATGCCTCAATCCTCTCTGACATTTTCCACCTCTAGGCCGAATAACAGACCAGGGATGTATAAATTCCCCTGTGTTTTTTGTAATCATCCTAATCACCTCTCCCACCTCTGTTCGAATTATAATACCCTTCAAACACGAAAATCCCGACTGCGAGAAAAGAAACTATGTTTTAATTGTTATAAGCCTGACCATCTCGCTAGATCCTGTCAAAACCCAATTACGTGCACTAATTGTCGAAATCTCCATCCCCGTGCTCTCTGTCCAAATTTATTTAATCCCCAACAACAAAGAGCTCGAAATTTTGAAAATTACCATTATGGTGCAGGCAGCTCTTCACAAAACGAATTTCAACATCAACACATGACTAATTACACCCAACCTATTAGATTTGAAAATATCCCCAGAAGAACTATTCCCCCGTTATCCTCGGTTGTCCCCCCAGCCAATTTATACAATAATTATTATCCACAAACAACAAAATCAGACACGCAGAACTCTAATGAAATCCAAACTGAAAGAAATGATTCACAACAACCACAAACAAACGCCTCCTCACTCTCTACACAAAGACACCCTCAAGAATTGCCAATCCTACTGAAATGCATTAAAGTAAGATTTTTTAATCCCAATTCCCCATCCCATGCTCGTATTGGCTTTCTGTTATTGGATGACGCTAGTACACATTCATATATCCAAACATCCGAAGCAATAAATCTCGGATTGAAATTAGAACCGAAAACAGTAAATCTAGGAGTTTTCAGTGATCCGAATAGTAAACCTACCCAAACTTACTCTACAGAATTCGGCCTCTCACTTTCCGATGGCCGTTCCCTCATTATTCGAGCATGTACTATAAATTACCTGACCCAACCTACGAAATACATACCACCAACCAACAATTCAATAATCGGCCTCCCAGAATTAATTCCACCAGCCGAAGTAATTTACCCAGTTATTTTACTAGGAAGTGATTATTATTATGATTTAGAGCCTACCCCAATAAAACGTCTACCCTCAGGCTACACCCTAGTAAGCACTCTTTTAGGTCCAATTGTGGCTGGAAAGCCGTATTTATGTTCAAACAAATTATTAAATAGTTCCATCAATTTCTGCTCACAACACGAAGGAAAAATAATAGAATTTCTGACTTTGGAAGGAATTGGAATAAAAGAAGATCCTGGAGAAATTTCGGAAGATAAAGTGTCGGCCCAATTTCTGAAAGACATTAAATTTGTAGACGGGCGCTATGAAATAAAATTCCCATTCAAATCCGACCCAGCCCATTTGCCAATACCCACTAATTATTCTTTATGTTACGGACGCTTGCGTTCTGTTTTAAATTCCTTGAAAAATGATAAATCTCTCATTGTCAAATACCAAGATATACTTACCGAACAACTCCAATTGGGAATAATAGAAAAGGTCCCAACTCCTAGCCAAAATTGTGTACCACTCCATTACCTTCCCCACCACCCTGTAATACGGCAAGATAAGAAAACCGTTCGAATAGTGTACGACGGTTCAGCTAAATTGGGAAAAAACCTGTCACTTAATGAATGCTTGTTTTCCGGCCCCAACCTTTTAAATGACCTTGTTGGTCTTTTATTTAAATTTCGACTCTCCAAATATATTATTACCGCCGATATCCAAAAGGCTTTTCTCCAAATTAGTATAAATCCCTCCGATCGCGATGTAACGCGATTTTTGTGGTTAAAAGATATTTCAATTCCCTTCTCCTCGTCCAACATTGAAATTTACCGATTTGCCCGTGTACCTTTTGGACTGATTTGCTCCCCATATCTCCTCGCAGCAACAATACGACATCACCTCTCAAAAAATAAATCCGCACTCTCGCAAGAATTAGAAGAAAACATTTATGTAGACAACATACTTCTTACAGCCTCTTCAATTTCAGAAGGAAAACAAAAATGTCTTGAGGCAACAAAACTCTTCGCCACAGCAAATATGAAACTTCGAGAATTTGTAAGTAATTGTAAGCAAATAATAGAAGATGTTCCAGAAGAGGACCGTCTCCCAAGTGAAAAAATTAAATTCCTTGGCATCAAATACTGCCCCATAGAAGATAAATTTAAACTTTCCTTACCAAATCCCTCCGAAAATTCTAATCCAAAGAAATGTGACATTCTCTCATTTGTCGCATCCGTTTATGATCCATGTGGTATTTTATCCCCCATCCTACTACCCTTAAAATTATTCTTCCAATCATTATGGCTAAATGATCTGAAATGGACCGAACCCGTACCCGAAGAAAAATTAAAAGAATGGACTAAATTATTTTCTGAATGGAAAGAATTAAATTTCTCAATACCAAGAGGCATATGTCCTGACCCCTTAAAAGTGAAGCAAATTGAATTACATGCCTTTAGCGATGCTTCATCCTTAGCTATGTGCGCTGCTGTCTATTTACGTGTCCACCTTCCCCAATCAATCCATTCAACTCTCTTATTTAGCAAAACTAAGCTTAAACCTATCACAAAGAAAGGCCAAAAATTCACCATACCCAAAATGGAACTTGTAGCAGCCCTTATTGGAGTAAGAGCTCTTCTTTATGTAAAATCACAACTCCCCCCTTCCTATGTGGATGAGAATCTGACCCTCTGGGTAGATTCATCCGTAGTTATTGGTTGGCTAAATTCCCGATTGCCCATTAAAGATATATTTATTTATAATAGAATTAAACCAATACGAGTCACCCCAAATTTAAAAGTCCGGCACATAGCGGGAAGTCAAAACCCCTCGGACCTGGGCACACGCGGAGTTACAAAACCAAGTGATTTATTTGAAAATGATGTGTGGCTTTATGGACCATCTTGGTTGTCGTGTGCAACAAATTCCTGGCCAAAAGAAAATGCCGAAATTCCATCTTTCTCGTCAAATGACTACAAACCAAATGTAGAAACGACAGAAACACAACCGATAATGACATTCAATACCACGCAAACATTGACCAGTATAATGGAAATCAACAAATTTTCCCGATTGCCAAAACTTCTCCGTGTCACGGCGTATATTTTAAGATTTATTGCTTATAATCCCCATCCATCGATTTCCTCTTATTTGAAAAAACACCCCAGACTTACAACATTAAATGTACATGTCCGAGAGCTTCGCTCGGCTCTAAAATTCCTTATTAAACAAGAACAGATGTATAACCCCCCATCCGACCATGAAAAGAATTTATTAGGCCTCTTTAACGACGAAAATAATTTAATCAGAGCCAATGGCCGTTTAGGAAATAGTAACCTCCCTCAAAATACAATTATGCCATTATTACTCCCAGCCAACTCTCACCTCACAAAACTATTAATTTACGAGACTCACATCCTAAATCACCATGCCAGCCCACTCACCGTACTCTCTATGTTAAGAAGAGAGTTTTGGATAATTAAAGGTAGAAAAGTTGTCCATTCCGTTATTTACAAATGTTGTCTTCCTTGCAGAAGATTTAAAGCAATACCATTTGATAGGCCCCCATTCCCACAATTTCCAGAAAAAAGAGTCACACCCTCAAGGCCATTTTCAGCAATTGGTCTAGATTTTGCAGGACCATTAAAATTAAAGACGGAAAACGATCCCCTCCAAAAATTTTACATAATACTATTTGTATGTTTATCTACACGTGCCATTTCATTAGATATAGTCCCAAACCAATCCGCTTACCAATTTAATTTGGCCTATCGTAGATTTGTCTCAAGATTTGGCCAGCCCGAAATTATCTACTCTGACAGCGCCCCAACCTTTATTTCATTTAAACGCTCTTTGAAACCTTATTCCCCGTCCTGGATTTTTAGAATCCCACATGCAGCTTGGAGAGGTGGACATTATGAAAGATTTGTCGCCTCTATAAAATTCCACTTAAGACGTACATTATCCCAAGGAATTTGGGCCAAAATTTTTCCAATTGATGAGGCAAGAACAATAATAAACGAAATTGAAACTATAATTAATAGCCGACCCATTTCTTTTGACTCGTCCAACCCACAAGAAATACGACCTATACGGCCTATTGATTTTATAAAACCACTCGGCCAACCAAATCTCCCCTTTTCTTTAAATGAACATACACCATTCAAAATACAAAGCACATCAGAGGATATTCAAAATTTGTGGACAACACTCAAAACTCGGCGAGAATTATTCTGGAAAAGATGGAATACAGACTACCTAATGTCACTCAGAGAACAACATAAAACTTTAACCCCCAAATCACAAAGAAATCCAATACTAGGAGAATTGGTTATTATATTCGATGAAAATCTCCCAGTTTCCCATTGGCGCACAGCAGTTATTTCAAAATTAATAAATAATAATGACAATATCCCCGACGTGGCCGAAGTCCGTTTCCCATCCGGTCGTGTTGTAAAACGCTCAGTAAACCATCTCCTTCCATTAGAGACTTCCCACGAATTAAAACAGAGGTTAAATCCAGAAGAATTACAATTTATGGAAAGGGAGAAAAAAGAAGTGTTAAAAGAAAATAAAAATCGTGAGAAAGTAAATAATTATATGTTCAATCCAGAAATAGAGCCTACTCATCCGCCTGATCATATTATTCAAGGCGAAGATGAAGCATTAAAACAATAACAGTTTGTTTAAAATTTCCTTCCCACCAGTCATAATTTCTAATTGTAAATAATCAACTTCACATTTTTGTGGTGGGAGGGTCTGCGAAGAATCTCATAAACATTAACTCCCCCTTTTCATTTCCTTTTAAGCTTGTAAAAATCTTTTATCTTCGTTTTATTTTAATAAAATTTATTTAGTAAATGGGAAGTATAATCTCCCTTGAAATTTTCTCTTTTAATTTACAATTAATTCAACAAACTCAACCTTCCGAGTGGAACAAAACAACCTACTTATTATTAATAATTCTTATTGTCGCCTTTGCTATAATAGGCGGTTTAATTATTTATATTGGAATTAGGAGGAAGCAAAAACCCCGTAAAATTTGGACAGCTCCCCCAACGCTCTTGGTCATCTTAGCAATTATTTTTATACTCTCTCCTTTAGAAGCAACCCCAGCACGAAACTTTAAGCCATACAAATCTTCCTTTAAACCTTACAAATCTTCACTTTTCAAACGTGTAGGAAAGCCCTTAGCAAAATCAACTCTTCCTATAATTGCATCGGCCGCACTCTATTTCGGCTTTGAAACATTAGCCCAAACTATTACAGACAATCCCGAATATTCTCTTGCCATCCTTTCCGTTTTAGGCTGCTTTTTCATACTCTTACTCCTATTGTTGGCTAAATTAGCCGCTTATTTATATTATTACATTCATCCACGCACAGCCCGACCCCAAACAATAGAATTACAAGAAATTAATCACAATATTAACGAAATCATTAACCGAACAGACCCAAGACGTGTTTAATTAAATTAATTTAAATTAAGCTAAATTAACTATTATTTAAAATTATGTCTTCAAAATTACGTCGAAATATTAAAGAAGTAAAATGCTTAAATGCCCAAGTACAAAGACACCTTCCCAATTCCAACAACAATATTCCAGCCTCCCATAAATTACTCAAGAAACCCACTGTTCCGAAGCCATTGGCTGAGGATCTTAATAAAATTTCAGTTAGTGCTGGTGATGCTACGATTGAGCCTTCTGGTCCGCCTACAGCAGCAGTGCCACCTTCTTGCCCCGCTCATGTTCCAACACCTGCTATCGACGACAAACAACAACAACCACCAGCAATAGCCGTGAAGGATATCCCACTTCCTGCCGCACCACCAAAAGAACATGGTCTGCCAATGGAACAACCCAAAACAATTCCTATCCGCTCACGTGTCCGCATCGACTCTACAGGTTCTATGGAATGGCTCCCTACCCACGAACAAAGCTACCGAAAGAACCTTATAAAGAAATGGGCCCGATCAAACAAGAAGAGTAGCCGGCCAGCTGATAAAGAAAAACCAACTATTACAAAACCGATCCCTTTAAAAGACATAAAAATTAATTCAAATCATAATCATCCCTCATTTCATGTACAATCGACTTCTAATGTCATCTATCTTCCTCCGCCGCCTCCTCCTCCACCTATTCCAATTGTTACTCAGAACCCTCTCTTTTTAATTGTAATTCCGTCTACTCAAATTCAAGCTCTTACTTACGCTCCGCTTCAATAATTGGGCGGAGTGTCTCATTTCGAAATGAGATTTTTTATATAATTAATTATTAATCATAAATACATATTTGTGTAATTTCCCACCCGTGTAAAGAAAGCGGATTGTTTCCAGCTTTCTTTGGTTTTTACAATTTCATTCTAAAAATATTCTCAACTTCAATAAAATAAAATAAATTGTTCGCTTTTTAATAAAATAAATATTTTTTGTGAAAGAAATTGATTTTAATAGGAAGAGAAATTTCTAGGAAATTAAGTTTGAGAAAAGAAAATTTGAGTTAAATTTACTTAAATTGAATAATTTGGAAAACAGTAATCCACATATTCCTTCATATTTATCCTTTAAAGGGCATTTCAAAATAAATTTTTTAAATATATTTATTTGGCAACACTTTTTAAAGGCAAAAATGTTTAATCGGTTAAAAATGGGGGAATAGATGAGTAAAAGAATTATTTTTAAGAATAAAAAAATTAAAAAATTGAATGAACTAATTAATGATCAAACACCAAAAATGAACAAAACATCTGTCTGGAATTAGCGCAAAAATTTAAAAAAATGTCTGAAATGGACAAAAAAAAGGTAAAGACGAGAAAAATGTAATAGAAGATCAAAATGATCAAAAATGATAAAAAAAAATTTATTTAATTTTAAAAAGTGAAGAAAAATGAAGGGGGGGAAGGACATTCTGCGTAAGAAGGTGAGGCGAAGTTTGAGGCAAGTAACTTTTGATAGAATAAAGATAAAAATACAAAATTTTGTCATAAGATAGAGGAGATTTTGGGCTACTAAACAAAAGTAAAATGATAGAAAAATCTTTATTTTAAAAAAAGTTATGAATTTTTAATTAAAGTTGGTCCGCGGGTACTTTATGGATATGTCACCCCCCCCTCCTATTTTGAGTCTCAGAGTTTTCCTTAAACGTAGAAAATGGTCAGAGATTATTTTCTTCTCCATGTCAATATTTTTCTTTCTTCAAGCAAAATAAGTGAAATCTGGTAAATGTAGAAACCAAATGAGTGAAATGTAAGTACAAAATATGTGAAAAGGCAAAATAAACCAGCAAAATACTTGAAGAAGAAAAAAAATGATTGACATGGAGAAGAAAATAATTTCTGACCATTTTCTACGTTTAAGGAAAACTCTGAGACTCAAAATAGGAGGGGGGTGACATATCCATAAAGTACCGGTCCGCGTTTTTAGACTGTTTTTAGACAGTTTTTGGTCTATAACTTTGGAATAAGCAAAGATATAGATTTAAATTTAGTCTTAAAAAATAGAGGAGATTCTTGACTATTAATCAAAAAAATAAATTATGGAAAAATCTCAAATTTCAAAAAAGTTATGAATTTTTAACTAAAGGATAGTCGACGTTTTTGGCGCGTTTTTAGACAGTTTTTGGTCTGTAACTTTGGAATAAGCAAAGATATAGCTACAAATTTAGTGTTAAAAAATAGAGGAGATTCTCAGCTATAAGACAAAAAAGAAATTACGGAAAATCTAAAATTTAAAAAAAGTTATGAATTTTTAAATGAACTGTGTTTTAATTCATTTATTTTTAATTTTGATAGATTTCGACGCACAATTTTTCAGTTAAATTAGGATTAATTCATGTTTAATATCCATTTTATAGCTCTTTGTCTTAGCTTTAAAATGATCTGAAAATTATTTGTATATCTCGTCTTAAACCAAAGTTATGCGACTTTAAACTCACCCACCTAAACACTTGCGCGAATAAAGAATGAAGGTCATTTTCTCCCCCAAATTTACGTGGAAAAACACCTTAATTGGATAGAAGCGCCGGCAGGGTGTGATTAGAAAAGATATATTTTATTGTTGATTATTTTCTGTGTAAAAAATTGTTTATTGACCTAATAAGGTCATTTAATGAATAAAAAATTAGAATAGGTAGTGAGTGGTATTTTGCCTTTATAACTGAGAGAAGGGAAGGAGAATTAAGCCTCTTTCTCTCATTTATCCTTTTGTTCAATGGGAAACGCCCTAAAATGGGGAGGATTTGAATTAATAAATATCGAAAAAAATTAGGAATTAATTTCTGAAATTTACCATTTTGACATTTTATCATTTTAAAAATTTACCATTTTGAAAAATTGACATTTTGAAATTTTTGGAAAAAGACACAAATTAAGAATAAAATAATATATTTAAATTATAAAGCACTAATAATTACTTTTATTTCTCATTAAAATTATCGCCAAAAGTGTTTTTTTAATTGCGGAGCACTCTCGAATTCTCTCAAGAATTTTATTTAAAACAAATGAATAAAGCGTGAATAAAATGTGGGATGAAAAGAGAAAAATAGGGAGTGGGTTTACTTAATAGCGCATAACTTTTGGTTAAATTGAGATACAAAAATAAATATAATATCAAAAAATAGAGCAGATTCTGGGCTATTAAAAGAAATTTGAAAAAAATTTTTGGGGGGCAAAAACTAAATTTAAAAATTTTTAAAAGCATACATGTTTAATGCTTGTAAGGCAGTTACTTTGTTTTAAAAAATCCTAACTTTTCGAGGGTAGAATCAAGACAGAATATTTTTGGGTCCTATGATAGCCAAGGATCTCCTCTACAATTTGATAAAAAGATTAAATTTTTATCTCTATCCAATCCAAAGATATAAGCCTTTGAATCACCTGCACTAACGACTTCAGGTATAAGTCACTTTGCTTTTAAAAAATCATAACTTTTCGAGGATAAAATAAAAACTGTATATTTTTAGTCATATGATAGCCAAGGAGATCCTCTACAATTTGATATAAAAATCAAATTTTTATCTCTATCCTATCCAAAGATATAAGCCTTTAAAACACCTGAACTAAACATTTGTAAACGCCTGTACCCTTAAAAAAGTTTATTTTTTAATTACAACTTTTTTTTAAAATTAAACTTGAATATTTTACAGCATGTTTTTGCCCAGGTTTATTTAAATTAAGAATTTTATTTTTCTGTGCAACTCTCCCCTTTTTAGTAAATTAAAATAAACATGTACAGAAATTAATAATTAATTAATGCCTTTGATCACTGAATATTGAGGGAAATATCTATCATCGTTGGTCGTTGGTCCGAATAATTCTCGTGAATTTATTTAAATCATCAGAATTAAATGCAGAAAAATTTTGTAAAAAATTTTTACAAAATTATTTTTTACAAAATTTTAATTTTTTATTTTAAAAAATATTTAAAAATGTCAAATGTCGAAATGGTAAAATTTAAAAAATGGTAAAAAAAATTTTTTACTTTTTTATGCCCTCAGGGTTTTTAGGTTTTTTTTCAAAATTTTAAAAAAATATTTCAAAATGTCAACTACCCAAAAAGTAAAATTTAAAATGGTATGGGTTCGAAATGGTAAAAATTTCATTTTTTTTATTTTTATGCCCTCAGGGCCTATAAAATTTTTAAATAAAAATACCCAAAATTTATTTGAATATAAAATGTCTTATTTCGTCGAATTACTTTAAAATAAATTTGCGTAATATATTTGGCTTTTAATAAATTAAAAACCCGTTCAAGGCCAAAATATTTAAACATTAAAAACCAACTTTTTTTTGTACTTTTTGTAGTATTATTTAAATTTTTTTGTGGCGTATAATTTTTGGAATTCTCAATTAATTTTTGTATTTTTGATTAAAAAAAGTTTAAAAAAATTATTTAAAAATGTCAACTATCAAAAATGGTTCTGATTTTTAAAATAAACAAACTTGTTGTAATTTAATTCTGAAAAATCAGAAACAACAAGCTTATTTTTGCTTTAAAAAATCAGAATTTTTAATTAAAAATAATCAGAATTAAATTACAACAGGCTTATTTAATTTAGAAAAATCAGAATTATTAATTCTGATTTTTATAATTAAACTTGTTTTAAATTAATTCTGATTTTCTAAAAATTAAATAAACTTGTTTTAATTTAATTCTGATTTTTTAATTAAAGTTTCTATGCTAGGTACGTTCTCCACTAACTAGCTTAACACGAAAACAAATTCTAAATAAAGCTTAAACCTACCCAACATTATTTTTAATAAATTAGAAGGCAAGGCATATTTATTAAGAGCAAATTGGTAAAATAAATAAAAATGGCATAAATTTACCAAAAATTAATTAGCTTAAATAATTACTAAAATCTTGTGTTGCTAATATTAATTTAATATTATTTTATTTATTTTTATTTTTACAAATATAGAAAAATAATTTTTTTCTTCTTTCCCTTTGCGTAGTTCCTTCAAAGGTGTGCCTGTACTTTTAGGTAAAAATTAGAAAAAAAAGATTTGTGACGCAAATTTTTTTTTATTTTCTGACAAAGGATGATAAGAGAACAATAAAATGATTGAGGAAATTATTTAAAAATATTTTTTAATTTTTCTTTTGTTTTTATTTAGTAAGGGAAAGGGAGGGGGTATGTGTGAGGTCATTGTTTGATGACCAGGAATTAAAAGCTAATAACTTTTGTTTGGAAAGAGTTAGAGAGGTGAACAATGTATATTCGAAAGAGGAGATTCTGAACTATAAGAAGAATTAAAAATAAATTTTTAGGTTAATTTTCAAAAAAGATGGAAATTTTTAAAATGTTTAACTGTAGGCGATTAATGAACAGAACGACGTTTTTTACCCATAACTTTTTGTTAATCAAAATAATATAATTTATCAATATATCAAACGAAAGAGGAGATTCTTAGCTACAAAAAGATATAAAAATAAATTTTTTAGATTAAGATTTCGAGAAGTTATGATTTTTAAAAGAAGTTGAAGTCGATACGTTTAGGTTTAATTTCAAAACTTCAGTTAAAAAATCAGAATTAAATTAAAACAAGTTTATTTAATTTTTAGAAAATCAGAATTAAAAATAAAAATAAGTCTGAAAAATCAGAGTTAAAAAAGAACAAGATTAATATTAAAATCAGAATTATTAATTCTTATTTTCCTAACTTAAATAAACTTGTTGTAATTTAATTCTGATTTTTCAGAACTAAATTACAACAAGTTTGTTTATTTTAAAAATCAGAATTTTTAATTAAAAATAATCAGAATTTTATTAAAACAAGTTTTATTATTGCTTTTAAAAAATCAGAATTTTTAATTTTAAATAGGTAATCAGAATTAAATTACAACAAGCTTAATTTTAATTTTAAAAATCAGAATTATTAATTCTGAAAAATCAGAATTAAATTACAACAAGTTTATTTTTTCCCCTTGAACTTTAATATATTATTCAAAATGTAGTTTGTTCGTGATACCTTAATGTTTATTTATATTTATTAATGACCTCATAGTAAATGTTTTCCATTTTTAGTTAATTAATTTAAAAATTAATTTGATTTATTTTGGTTACTTGCAGATGTAATAAAAAAATTAATTTATATATTTTATTTATTTTTGGTTTATTAATTTTCACGTCAAAAAATGTAAAAAACAGATTTATTCTTGGAATTAAATTTTTTTGCATTTTTTAGCATGCCAAAAATTTCTTAAAAATATTTTTTAAAAATAAATTTTTTAAAAATAAATTTGAAAAAAATTAAAAATTAACAGATGCAAATTTAATCAGAAATAGATTTGAAAAATTTTCGAAATTAAAAAAAATAATTTTTTAAATTCTTTTTTTACGTCACAAAAATTCATAACAAAATTTAAAAATTCAGGGAGAATTTTTTTTTTATTTAAATTAAACCAAAGTTGGGTATTGGGCATTTTGTGTGGTCCTATAACCTATTCAATTTTTAGTTAATTAATTTAATTTTTCCAGGACTGCTTCCGAACTTTTTTTTTATAAAATACTCCCCAATATAAGATTTTTCTCTTCTATTTTTTAAAATTTTGGAGAGAATTGGTAGACCACCCCAGCCCTCCCATTTAAAACAAACTGCACTATAAAACCAGATTTTCCCAATTAAGGATTGGAAACTTTTTTATAATGAAGCTCTCAGTATCTTAAAAAATCATCTGCCTTTTCCCTATTTAAAAAAATCAAAAAAAAAATTTTTTTGATGAAATTTTGTCCCAAAAATTTTTTCCCTAATTAAAAAATTCAAAAAAAAAAATTTTTTTTGATGACATTTTGTCCCAAAAATTTCTTCCAAATTTTAAAAATTCAAAAAAAAAATTTTTTAAATAATATTCCTTTATTTTTAATAGTCATAAATTTACACACAAAACAAAAAAAAATAAACCAAAATATTAAAAAAAAAAGCAGAAAAAGTTTTAGATAAATAAAATATATATTGTGTATTTTGTTGTTGTTTGGAAGAGTACAAAAATATTATTTTAAATATAATACTAGAGGAGAGGAGGTAAGATATGTATTTTTTTAGTCGATAGAAAAAATTTCTCAAATTTTTTTTCTAAATTATAGGCCATAGGAGATAATAAATAAAATGTAGGTATTTTTAGAAAAAATAAATATATGCAAAAAAAGAGAGAGGAGACAGAGAGAGATTCTCAATTAATTTTTTTATAGTTATTGTTGGAAGAGAGACAATTGATCCCAAAAAAAAAATTTTTTTTCGATTTTTAAAAATTTTTTCAAGTTCAAAAATTTTTTTTCGAATTTAAAAAAAAATTTTTTCGAATTAAAAAAATTTTTTCAAGTTCAAAAATTTTTCACAATTTTTAAAAAAATTTTTTTGGGAGAAAGTGTCAATGAAGCTACACAAAAAAAACAAAAAATAACCTTCATTTTCTTCTAAAATTCATTCACAAATTTTTCCATTACTCTCTATTTTCGTTTAATTGGACGCCAAATGTTTACATTTCGAATTGCTCGATTTATATTTTCTAACCAATAGTCACGCTCATTTGGAGTATCAGCAGCAAAAAGCATCCTTTAAAAATTAAATTTTTTTAAATTAATTTTTTTAAAAATTTTCTAGGACATTTTATCACACAAAAAAATTAAACAATTTTTAAAGGATTTTTCTCAAATCAGGGGCATTTTTAAGCCATTAAAATTTTTTCCAAAAAATATGAATTCAATAACATATTTAGTATTGATTAAATTTTAAAATCCCAAAAAATTTCAAAAAAAAAATTTTTTTTTTAATTTAAAAAAAAATATTTACCAAGTCAGAGATATTTTAGTCCTTCAATTTACCAAAAACTTTCTCAAAAAAATTTAATTTAGAAAAGTAAACTTCAATAAAGTATTTGAATAAATTATTAAAGTCCCAAAAAATAAAAAAAAAACGACAACTAACCTAACACCTTCCTTTTTATCCCCTTCATTCATTTGTGGAGGAACAACATCAACTTGCATTGAATTTGGAAATGAGGCAGCAGAAGGAGGCAATGCTGTAACTGACGTAATACACCAAACCAATTCTATTGTAACTGTAGGAGTCTGAAAAAAAAATAAATTTTGAAAAATCCAAAAAAACGAGAATTTTTAGGCCTAAAAATTTTTTCCCCAAAATCTTTGGTTAAGTGGGTCAGTTCTAGGCTCTACAGCAAAGGTCATGGGTTCGAACCCGTTGGTCAAATTTATTTTTAAATTTAATTTAAAAAAATTTTCTGAGAGAAAAAAACTTATTTTTGGCGATATAAAAATTTTTCTGCCAAAATAACATAAAAGTATTGACATATGGCAATAAAAACTTATTGTTAGGTTACCGACGAACAAAAATTTTTCCAAAAAAATTTTTAAAATTTATTTATAAAAAAATTTTTTACTTTTGTCCCTTCATCTTCAGGATAACGCCAAAAATTTAAAAGTCCATTATCCAAAACACACCAAAAACGATTCCAAGCACCAAAACCACTAACAATTTGGTAAAGTGAAAGAAAAGAACTATAACCACCAAATTTTGATGAATTCTAGAAAAATTTTTTTTTTGATTTTTTAAAAAATTTTTTCAAAAAAACCTCGTCAGTATGGCAATCCATACTTAATAAACAACTTCCATCTAAAGGATACACTGTGTCATTTAATAAAAATTTTTGGCGGCCAATTAATTGTCTGGTTATTGAGAGATGTCCAACACGTTGAAATCCTGGATCCATTACACCAATAGGTCTGTTCCCAGTGGAATAATTATCTTTAAACAAAAAATTTTTTTAATGTTAAAAATCTTTGGGTAAATATTTTCAAATTCAAACAAGGAATACAGTCAGAAACCTCCCCCTAACATAACCCAATATTAGCTACACTCTATTCAAAAGACAATTTTCTTAAAAAATTGTTGGGCAGTGGTAATCTCATCCAATCAGTGGTAATCTCATTCAAAGCCCAATAAATTCAAAAATTTAAACAAACTGAATGTATTAGAATATGCATTGAGAGGAGTGCTAATAACCATACGCCGCCAAGTTCCTTTTTTGCTTCGGGCACTTCGATCTGTACTGTCCTTCTCTTGAGATGCTTTCTTAAGAAAAATATTTCAAAACAATCTTTTTAATAAAAAATCCAAACCAAAGAATAAATTTCCAATTCACAAACAAAGTCTGGAGATAACCCTTCTATAGGTATATAATGAGTAAATTCAATAAATCCACTTTTTATTCCTTGTTCACTCGAAGCCAAAGAAGTGTGAAATATGAGTTCACCACATTTGATTAAAATAATGAAATAATAGCGGTTGATAGCTTTAAAAAAATTTAAAAATATTTAAATATAAGGCTAAAAATCAATAAATGGACATTTGGGGTCATTTAAAAAAAATGTTTTTTTTAAATTCTGTGCCTTGATCCGAAATTTCTGGAGTAATAAATTCTGAAATGTCTGGGTTTGGATTCTGAGTTGATTCATTCCCGAGCTCCAAATCCTACAACTAGCATAGAATCCGGAAACCCAACAAACATAGTTTGCCACATATAAAAATGTGCAAAATATAGAGCACAAAATACAAAAAAATACAGGACCCGAACCGAGTTTGACAACCTTCAAGATTTTTACCGAAAAAAATTTTAAAAAAAAACTAACAAGAAGCACCGCCATGAACACAATTGTTAATATATTCCCTCGAAAGTCTAATTGAAATTGAAGAAAATATTAAAGTCCCTTTAGGTTCAATTGTTGAAGCATTTGATTGTTGAATTTGTTTACCACTCATTAAACGATCTCGTTCCAATAGTAATGCACGGCGACGTTCTGTTGCAATTAAAAGAGCACGTTGAGCATCAATCTATAAAACAGTTAATAATAAAATTAATTTTCAAGAATAAACCAGCCTAAAAAGGTGCCAAAGAAATTTTCGAGATTTTAAAAAATTTCAACCTTTTTGGTTAAGTTGGTAACGTTTAAGACACACTTGAGTAAGGGGTAATGGGTTTGAACCCGTTGAGAGAATTTATTTTTAAATTCGAATAAAAACAATTTTTGAGTGGGAAAAACTCAAATTTCTGGCAATATATAAAATAAATTGGACAAAAAACACCAAAAAAAATTTTAAAAACCTCTTCTCTCCCACCACGAAATTGATCATTTTGACGACAAAAGGCTAACGCTCTCGAAGCTTGGCAGATTTGGTCTTGTTGAACAACAATCATATCATGTAGGCGTTTTAATTGGACTTCTTGCTGAGATTTTTGAGATTGTAGATCGATATTAGACTCATCGGAAACAAAGGAGTCCACTTTGCTAATCAATTTGCCAGTTTTTGAAGAAGTTGAAAAATTGAAATCAGATTTGGTATCGTCAATTTCAGAAAGTGAATGTTGCCTTTTTCCGTTAAAAACCGAATCTAAAAATATATAAAAAATGTTAATTTAAAATAATGAAAAGTTGTAAAATAAAAGCAACATTAACAACAATAGAAGTCTTAATATACTTCATAAAAAGTCAAAATTGTTCAAGAAAAAATGAATCCGCAATAGTAAAAAAAAAGGTCCAAAACCCTTTAATATAATTTTAAAAAATCCCATAAGATATTTAAACACGTAAAATAAATGTAAAAACTCACCCCCTTCCACATCCTGTTTGCTGTTTAAAACCGAAATTGAAGAAAATGATGAAGTTGGAGTGGTGCTTTTTGAGCTTAAATTTGGGTCAGATTTTTGCTTCTTCCTCTCTTCTTTGTATTTTTCCAATTCTCGGTTAATATCATCCCATAGCGATCCAATAATTGTTTCTGTTGGTGTTATAGGCCGGAATTTGTCTTTTGAAGAGGATACAGGTTTTGGAGGTACTATTGGTGCCATTTTCTTTTTCATTGGTGGTGAGGATACGTTTGGTGAAGAAAGTTGCAGGGGCTGAAAAAAAACAAAAAAAAACTCAAAAACCTTTATATTTTTGTAATTATTGGTCAAGGTCTTAGAGGGAGTTACTCAAAAAAAAAACCTCGAACGGGGTATCCACGAGTTAAAAATTTTCGTAAAAAATTTATTTAAATAAAATTATTAAAAAATACAAGAGCCTTTTGTTGATCAGTCTCGGATGTGAATAGAACGAATCCTTGTTCTTTAGAATACCCTTCCTCGTTTCGATAGACTTTAGCACCACGACAAGAGCGATAACGCTCTCCAAATAACTAGAAAAGGAAAATTTTTTGGATTCAAGTAAATCTTTGTGATAATTGTTTGGGAGAAGGATGATCAAAAAATGACGAAGAAAGTTAAAAGAAATTGGCTATTTCCCTAATGCTCTCAAAAGTCCGCAAATTTTATCCGCAAAAATTTTTGATAAATAAAAGCTAAAAACCCCAAGATACCAAAAATAACTAGTAAATTACCCAAAAAAAACAATAAAAGAAAATACCCTAAAAAGCGAAGCATCATCAACACTAGGAGATAAAGTTTTTGTTGGAGTCTGCTTATGGAAACAAATGGTTTGTTTGGAGACAAATTGTTGGTTGTCCTCAATAGACCTTAAAATTAAATTTTTAAAACAAAAATTCAGAAAAAAATACATTTGATGTGGAGAGTTGGCAAATGCAAGATTAAAACGTGCTCTTCCAGACGGGTCATTTGGAAACTAAAAAAATTCAAAAATATTGCTTAAAAATCCAAAAACAAACCGGTTTCCCATTAACATCCAAAAGAGCATCACGAGCAGAATCTTCATTGGAAAACTCAACAAAACAGTAAGTAGCTTTCTAAAATTTGAAAATAAATAAGGTTCGTCAACCGCAAAAATGAGTTGATCTAGGAGTTAAAGAAGCATAAAAAGGAGGAGATCCAGAAATTAAAGCGACCTAGAGGAGTCCAAAAGACCTTATGAAATAAGCAATAAAGAAGCCAAGGATTTGAAGATAACAAAAGGAGGTCAAAGAGCCGAAGGAGGTCATAAAAAAGCCAAGGAGGGCATAACCAAAGCGACTAACCATAGAAGTCTAGAAATTAAAGTGACAAGGAAATTACAGCGATCCAAGAGACCTAATGGAAGCCAAGGAGGGAAACCAAGAGAGGAAGAATTACATAAATAAGAGTGACCTAGAAGAAAACCACGAGGCTTACGGGTCAAGAAAGCAAAGGAAGTAAATATCTAATGAAACCCATTTTGTCAAATTTGCCACAAAACATCCAAAAAGCCCAAAATCTTTAAACAAACAAAAATATAAACCCTGGCTCCTTGGTCAGTAGTCACCATCTTCACATTAACAATATCCTTCCCGTACTGTCCAAAAGCCTCACGAATATAACTAGCATCCCAATCAGGGTTTAGATCACCCATCCAAATAGTACAGTCTGGTGCAGGGAAGTGGTGCTGTTGTTGGTGTTGAGGAAAAGGAGGCTGTTGCCGTTGTGGATTTGTTGATTGGGGCAATTGCTGATTCATCCCCGGGTTGGAAGGAGCGTCAATATCTTGTTGAGAATTTTGCAGCATTTTTAGAGTTTTGTTCGAGAATCTTAAAAAAAATTTCGAAAATTTACAAGAGTCCTCGACAAAAAAATAAATCAAGCTTGTTTATTTGTTTCTTACTCAAGCAAGATTAAAACTAAAGCGCGCGCATGAAAAACCCCCAAAAAAACACCGTTGGGCAATACCCAATTAATTAATCCTCACGTTTTAGCAAACAAGCCTAGCGCGTGCATAAAAGAACCTAAAACACCGTTGGGCAATACCTATTTAATTAATCCTCACGTTTTAGCAAACGGACGCTTTGACTGTTTTAAACTTGTTTGTATTAAGATTTAGCGCTTTTATAATAACAAAAAATAAAAAGTGTGTTAGAGTCGGTAAATAGACGAGTAAGTAAAGAAAATTTTTTCAGGTACTCTTCTATCCCCTAATTTTTGAAACAAAAAATGAGACACTTGAGTCTTACTTTTTAATTTATATGGAAACTAGTTACTATTAAGACTCTAACTGTTTAGACTCAAACTGCTTTATTTCTTGAAAATACATTTGACAGACAGTTAGAGAAAAATAAAGAGCCTTTTTAAGAGTACTGCCCAAATAGGCGCGCGGCCATAACGGCGCAAAGCCTTAACTTGCTTCAAATTTGCCGAATGTTACCAAATTTAGTATTAAACGATTTCTCTAATCGAGCTAAAGAGATTGATACCAAAATTGATAAGGGCCAGAAATTTTCTAGCAAGTTATGACTCTGCGCCGTTATGGCCGCGCGCCGGCGTGTCTTATAATTTTTTTACGTTGTTGGTTTGTCAAGGTTGCTTTTAAATTTTTTAAAATTTTTTTTAAAGATTCTCGAACAAAATTTGAAAATGTTGCAAAATCCCCAGCAAGATATTGACGCTCCTGCCAATCCTGGTATCAATCAACAGCAACCACAATTACCACCGCCTCCGCCGCAGCAACAGACTACAAATCCACAACAGCAACAGCCTCCATTTCCTCAACACCAACAACAGCACCACTTTCCTGCCCCAGACTGTACTATTTGGATGGGTGATCTAAGCCCTGATTGGGATGCTAGTTATATCCGTGAAGCTTTTGGACAGTACGGGAAGGATATTGTTAATGTGAAGATGGTGACTACTGACCAAGGAGCCAGGGTTTATATTTTTATTTTTTATGGGGTTTTGGGCTTTCTTTGGATGTGTTTTTGCACATCTGTTTAAGTGGAGTTCCACTTTTAGTAGGCCCACTAGATCTTTACTTTCCTGGGTTGTGCTAGGTACTTGATTCACTTGGGCATTCCTTCCATTTCGCTGGACTCGCGAGATTCCTCCAGTGTTTCCTTCTACTTTTAATAAGCCTTTGAACTTCTTTTCTGTCCCTTTAGAGTACCCAGTCCTGCTAGATCTATGAATCCTCCTTGTCTCGTAGATAACTCATTTTTGCTTCTCTTTAACTATTAATGAGTCAAGACTTGAAGAGTGTATGTTTATCTCTCATAGGTTCTCATCATCGGTGGCCTTCTCGCAGGGCTGCACACAATCGGAAAAAATTTTCCGCAGCCGCAACTCGCAATTGCAAAACACCCCGAAATTTACGCAATCCGCAATTTCCTGCAGCCCTGCTTCCTCGACACTATTGTACTCAATAAATCTATAGATCCTTTATCAAAATTTATTTATTTTTAATTTAGAAGGCTACTTATTGCTTTGTTGAGTTTTCTAATGAAGATTCTGCGCGTGATGCTCTTTTGGATGTTAATGGGAAACCGGTTTTTTTTAAATTTTTAAGCAATATTTATAAAACAAATTTTATAGTTTCCAAATGACCCGTCAGGGAGAGCACGTTTTAATCTTGCCTTTGCCAACTCTCCCCATCAAATGTATTTTTCTTTTCTAATTTTGTTTAAAAAATTTAATTTTAAGGTCTGTTGAGTACAACCTTTTTGTTAACAATTTGTCTCCAGATGTTGATGATGTTTCTCTTTTTAGGGTATTTTTTGATAGATTTTTTGGGTATTTTCCTTTGTTTTTGATAAAATAAATATTTGCAATTTGCGGACAAAACTTGCGGACTTTTCAGTAGCCTATCGTTCCTTGCACATCTTTCCCATGCTTTCCATGGTGGGAGCTCCTTGCTAGAAAGGGCACATTCTCTATCGAATGAGTCCGGTCTAGCGTTCCAGTTATTTTTCCCATCTTTTTTAAATAAATATTAGAATTTGCGGACAAAACTTGCGGACTTTTTTCGGATCATTTACGAAAGCAACCAATAGTTTCAAATTTTTCTCTTTGACTTTCTCCATCGTCTTTTGGGTATTTTCTCTAGCTAGAATAATTAACATACCGATTTATTTGTTTTCTCATATTGAATTTTTTTGAGGATTATTTTTTGCGGTCTCTTTTTATATACCGGGTTTTCTTTTAGTATTACTTTTTTACTTTGCTATAAAAGATTAGCATTAAATAAATAAAGGCGAACCATAAATGATGTAAAAGACGAACCATAAAATTAGACGAAGACTGTTTCTTTTTAATTCAGGAGTAGTAAAAAAATATTTTTCTCTGACCGGGTTCGAACCCACGACCCTAAAATATTTGGAATTTCCACTTAACCAAGCAGAAAAATTAAATCGGAAAAGCGGTCACGCTATTCCCTACATATGAAAATTCTCAAAAAATTCTTAAAAAAATTATATTTTCTAGTTATTCGGAGAACGTTATCGTTCCTGTCGTGGTGCTAAAGTTTATCGAAATGAGGAAGGGTATTCTAAAGAACAAGGATTCGTTCGATTCACATCTGAAACTGATCAACAAAAAGCTTTGGTATTTTTTAAAATTTTTGTTCAAAAAAATTTTTTTGAAAGGTCGAAATGAACAAACAAAGCTTTTTTGGTCGCGAATTGTTTTTGAAATTGGCCCGGCCAAAAACTCGAGGGACTGGGCGTTATGCTCCACGAGGTGTTCATGGATCAGCGTCGTTAATGGGTGCGCCTCCTGCCTATCCGGCGCCTGGATTTTTTGGTATTTTATTTTTTTAATTTGGGAATTATTTTGATTTTTAAATGTTGGGCTAATTTTTTCGATTTTGGTTTGTAAAGAAGGATTTATGGTTAAGTGGAAATTTCAAGTATTTTGGGGTCATGGGTTCGATCCCGGTTAGGGTGAATTATTTTTTGATAAAAATTTTTGGTTTACGAAAACACACTCGTCATAGGTTTCTAACCTGTGACTTACAAAATCAATCCGTTTATTCTGAAATACTGCGGAAATTTTTATATTTCTGCTATAGATTTAGCAATAATGCCGTATTTATTTCCTCCAATTTTATTTTTAAAAATTAATTTCCCCAAAATTCCATTTTTTAAAGTCCCAAATGCTGCTATTCCAATGATCACCAATACTCCTTTTGGTGTCGGAATTATGCCTGCAGGAGCTCCACTTTCTATGGCAACACCTTATGGAACTCAATTAGCGCCAAACCATGGAATGGCAGGTTTTGGTGGAATGCCTGCAGGACAACAATTTGCTGGACAGCCTATCTTTGTTGGGAATACTTTTCAACAGAATCCGTTCATTCAACAACAGGTTTTTTTAATTAAAAAATATTTTACCCTGAACGGGTTCGAACCGGTGACCCCAAAAAACGTTTGTATTTTCCACTTAACCATGAATCCTTAGCTAATCGTTTTTTAGCATAAGTTTTCTAAAAAAATTTTTTTTCAAGTTTCATCAACAGAATCTTTTTAATCCTGGTGCTGTTATGCCTCAAATGGGAATGCCTGCGGGTTCTATTCAATATCCAAATCAACAGCAACACAATATTGCTCATGTTCAACCTCAATTAATTATGCCTATTAAACCAGAAATTCAACAATATTATGAAGGTTTTTTTTATTTTTTTTAAATAAAATTTTTTTTTAAAATTTTTCCAGATGTTGAGCCTTTATCTGCTGAAGAGCACAATGCTCTTTTAATAAATTCGAGTGCTGAATTGGCAACTTCAATTGAAGCTAGTCGTTGGGGCTCTGTTGCCTTCACTCCTGATTTGCGTTTAAAAGAACTTCAAAATGTTTTGCATTGAAATTTTTTGTGTGTTTGGGAAGGATATGTTATTTATTTTTTTGTTTTTTATTAAAAAATTTCAAAGCAATGCTTTTTTGAAAAAATATATTAAATTAAAAAGGCATAGAAAAGGGGAAGACGGAGGGGAGAAGAGTTAACGGCACAGGCTCATCCCGTCTTGAATCCAAAGGAGTCCGTGACTAGAAAATTTTTTAAACTGACCTTCAGCTCTGCCAAAAATTTTTTAATTTATTTTTCGCTTCATTCCTTTTAATAAAAAATTTTTTCTTTTAATATTTTTGGTTTCACAAAATATTAATTATTATTTTTTTCTCTGAGAGATTGTCTTTGACATTTATAAAAACTGCATCAAAAATTTTTTTTGTTGTTTTTTGTTTGTTTTTTTTCGATTTTACAAAAATATAAAATATAATATTTTCAGGGTACAGCCCAAATAGGCGCGCGGCCATAATGGCGCAAGGTCATAACTTGCTTGATGATTTCCGAATCTTACCAAATTTGGTATTAAACGATTCCTCTAATAGAGACGAAGAGATTGGTACCAAAATTGATGAGGGCCAGAAAATTTCCATGCAAGTTATGGCTCTGCGCCGTTATGGCCGCGCGCCGGCGTGTCCCATAATTTTTTACTTATACTTCTCTCTCACATTTCTCAAAAAAAAATAAAAAGTTTAATATTTTTTTTGAATTTTAAAAATTTTTTCTATTCATTTTTGAATGAATTTTGTTATTTTTTGATTTGTTTTTAATTAAAAAAATTTTTTTAAATTTTTTTAAAGCCATTTAGTTACTTGGAAAAAAGGAAATGAGCGTTGGTATTGTAACACGTATTGATGAATCTCATTTTTATGTTTGGGCATTGGGACATGGATATAAAGAATTTAGATGTAGAAAGGTTCCAGAAAAGGAGTTTAAGGTTTATTTTAAATAAATATTTTATTTTCTGTTAAGAACGGAAATCCTATTGTCAGGGTTTAACTAGGGAAGGCTGCGAGGTGTCGAGTTAAAAACGGTCGAGACCGGGCTCTTTCATATCAAAAAACGGGCAAGAAAGGCTAGCAAAGTCCTTGCTAGAAAGGGCACATTCTCTATCGTATGAGCCCGGTCTCGACCGTTTTTAGCTCGGACACCTTGCAACCTACCATAGTAAGAGTATAAGAGAAAGGGTCCTTTTTCTAGTAAAATCCGCAACTTTTTGTCCGCAAGTTGGGATTTTTAAGCAATAGAGGAATTAGCCATTACTTCCAAGGAACCATCGAGAACTATGACCAAAAATTTTCAAATAAAAATTATTTCATCGTGTAGAGCATGGTCGATAGCCTATTGCCAATTTTTTCTTTTTTGGCCCTGACCCCCATTTCGTAAAATTATGTGGCTTCACAGTTTCCGACTTTTTCCTTCCTTTTTATGTCCCTAATTATTTGCTTAAAAATTAGATCCTCTATCTTACAGTTAAATTTTAACTCCAATTTTTTCTTTCTAGCATGGCGAACTAATCCATTTTACTTTGCCAAATGAAAATTCTTTAACTTTGGACGCTACACGATGTGAAAGGGCAAATAGACAATTAAATGTTTTACCAAGTAATCGTGTTTGGAAGGTTTTTTTAAATTTTTATGATTAAATAAAATTTTTTTAATTCAATTTTAGGCAGAATGCCTAATTACTTTTGCTCCAAAAGAGTTTGATGTACTCAAGAATATACAAGAACAAGTTCCGGTAAAACTTTTTTGGTTTAATTATTAATTAGGATTTTATGGTCAATTTAATTGGCCGTCACTTTAACCGTCTATTTCTTTAAAAAATTTGGCGTATCGATGTTGACAAAGTGACCGTTTCGTTACTTTTTTAATTTTAGGACTTTTCTTTGTTTTTGATTTTTTTATTTTTCCTTTAGGCGTTCAAAGTTTTTTCATTTTTTATTTTTCGCCAATATTTTCAGAATCCGCAAGTTTTATTTTCGTCCGCAAGTCGTATTTCTCACTTAATATTTTTAAATTTATTTATTTACACCACCGAGAGTGTCAGTCAAAAATAAAAAACAATTTGAAGTCAAATAAACAAACAAAAAAAATAACCACCTCCTAACACTTTTGTCCTTATTCCAAACAATTTTTCAGCTTGCTAAACTAAGTAAATATGACTTGCGAATAAAATTTTACGGACTTTGGGAACTTGAACGAAAAAGAATTTCATTTTCGGAAAATAATTTTTTTCTTAAGCGTTGCACAGCTTTGGGATTTTCTGATGAATTTTGTTATGTTGCCTGTTTTGCTCCTCCAAATGCACATCTTCAAGCTGGGGATGTTTACCAAACTTATGTTACTAGGTTTTTTGTTTGAAATTAATTTATTAAAAAAATTTTTTTAAAAGAATTCCTCCTGAGCTCGATGAGTGGATACCTAAACTTGGAACTCCTTTTTGTACTGTTAATAAATTTACAAAAATTTTTGATATAGAAAAGGCTCGGGAATTGTTAAGCAAAGCGGTAAGCATTTTTGGGAATTATTTTAATTTCTGAGAAATCTGGAAATTTTGGGGTCTTTTGAAATTTCAGAATTTGTGAAAGACGAAATTCTGGAAATCAGAAATTCTAATTTTTATGATCAGAAAAATCAGAATTTTGGGTTTTCTGTATCAGAACAACGAAAAAATCATAAATTATCAGAAATTATCAAAAATTATCCAGCCCCACACTTGGGTCTTAAACATTGGAAGTCAACGCCCAAGAGATATGCCCTCCAACTAGTAAACCCTAAAGATCTCTGATTTCTCAAAATCATAACTCGGAAAAAATCAGCAGATTTTTGGTTACTTTGAATCAAAAATTGTGATTTTCCTAATATTATTTCTGGGGTTTTCAAATAGTATTCAAGTCAGAATTTTTATTTTTAAAAAATAGGAAAGAACATTTAAACCAGCAAAACTTTAAAAAAAATTTATTTCAAATCTTTTTTTAGCCTTGGACAAAAATTATGGGTATAGAACACAGTCGAAAAAATTCTTCAATAAGTGCTGAAAAAACTATCCCAAAGGTTTATTTTTATATTGGAATTATTTTTATTTTTAAAAATTTTTTAGATGGTTCATTCAACCTTAAATTTGTTTGATGAAGGTTCAAATGATGAGGAAGATGCTCCTATCAAACAAAAGGTTCTTTTTTAAATTAAATGCAGTGAAACCTCATAAGACATGTTGAACCCTGATTTAGCCTTCTCGGAAAGTCTGGTGTTGGGCTAGAAAAAATGCTAATTTTTGTCCGCAAAATTTGTCCGCAAGAATTTTACGGACAAATTTTCTCTTAAAATTTAGTCCGCAAAGACGATTTAACCGTAATTTAACCTTTCTTGAAAATTCTGGAGTTGAGCTAGAAAGAATGCTATTTTTGTCCGCAAATATTTTGGGGATTATCTGCAAAAATTTTTTTGTCCGCAAATAATTTGCGGACAAATTTTCTCTTAAAATTATTTCCGCAAAAAATTATTTAAAATGAGGTTTGAAATATTTTAACAAAATTAATTTCTATAAATAAAAATATATTTTTAAGGAACCTCCAACTAGTAATAAGAAAAATATTTTTCGACTTGATGATGATGATGACGATAATGACTGCCAAATAATTAATTCAAACAACAAAAAAATTTTTGACAACAATGAAAATTCTGCTGCTACTACAATTCCAGAGGAACCAAAACAAAAAAATAATTTTGAAACAACAACAATTTTAAAAAATCCAATAACGAAAGAAGTTGTTGACTTAACTAGAGATGAGGAAAATTTGAAGGTGAAGGAAAAGGCTCGCCCTCAGAATTTGGTGGAAGATGAAGAGGATATGATGAAAATTTATACTGGATTAGTTGTTGAAGCAGACAATTTTGGTTTAATTTTATGGAATAAAACTCATGATTTGGTTAGAGCTCCAGGATTGCCTTTAATTGGATTGGATAAAAGGGTCGGGATTTTTTAATTTTTATTTATTAAATGATGGATAATAAGGCCAAGGTTATAGGGGGAAATTCTGATTTTTCCTAGTCAGAAATTCTGATGTTTTTTGGAGTCAAAAATTCTGGTTTCTGATTTTTTCCTGGAATCGGTTTTTCTGATAGTGAGCTAGCAGCAAATTTTTTTGTCCGCAAAAAATCTTGCGGATAAAATTTCTCTGCAATTTTTTTTTGTCCGCAAAAATCTTGCGGACGAAATCTCTTTCAAATTTTTGTCCACAACTAATTTCTTATTTTTTAAAATTTTAGTGGCCAATTTCAACTTGGGTAAATTATCGTGCCTTTCTCGACGACACAAGTTCTTCACAACAACAACAAGGTGCTCATGTCAATCGTTGTCGTTATACTGCCTATGACATTTTCACTTCGGATGTTGATCGTCAAGTGATTTTTCGTAAATCCGAAAATACTATTAGGGTAAGTGTGGGATGATTTGTCAGAATATTAGTTCGCAAAAAAATTTGCGGACAAAAACTTTGTCCGCAAAAAAGTTGCGGACTTGTTGTTTTTTTAAAATTTGTCCGCAACTTTTTGCGGACAATGTGCAAGAAAATTTTTTTTCTTTAAAACAGATGGAATGTCAAATTTATGGGCCTGTTCGTTATGTTGGAGATGACTTAATGCTTGTAAATGAACCTTTTTTGGGAATTGTATTATGCGTAAAAGATTTGAGATTAGTTCAAAGATTGGATTTAGGCTGGGCAGATTATGTGACGGTTTGCTGGGAATAATTTTTTTTAATTTTTGAAAAAAATTTTTTTGAAGGCTTATGTTACCTTCACAAAAGAATATCCCGTTTTGTGTCGTTGGATAGCTTTAGCAATTAAACCAAATGTTGATAGTGATTGGGCTGAGGTTTTTTTTGAGAAATTTTTTTTGAAAAAAATTTTTTAAAGCTTGAAAAGCCATTAATTACAAAACCTATAGTTGAAGAAATGAAGGAAAATGCAAAGATATCTGCTTCTAAAGAAAAATATTTTGAGGAAGAAAATAATGCGGGATCTTTAGAAAATGACCAAGAAGTTGAACAAGCTAAATGTTCGTCTTTCAATGAAGGAAATATGAGTACCCAAAAGGTTTATTTTCTAAATATTATTTTGAAAATTGCAAGGGCGTATCCTGAGGGTCGGCCAGCCCCCCTGAATACTCCCTTGAAAAATTGTTTGATCACAGTATTTCTGAATGTCAATTAATTAGGGATATTTCGAATTGAGTTCTTACCAAAATTCGTACTCGTACTTTGGTACGAAGTACGAGGCCAAAAAAGTTGGCAGGTATGAAATATGAAAATTAGGGGTGGTACGAAATACGAGTACGAGCAAAATGAAATTTATGGACACTGATCTCCCAAAAATATTCCACAATGTCATTAACTCCCAAAATAGCTCAAAATGCCAAAATCCCAAAAATATCTCAAAATGTCATAACCCTCAGAATATCTCAAAATTAAATGTAGTGAACCTCATAGGACACGATTTAGTCTTTTTAACCTTCTCGGAAATTCTGGTATTAGGCTAAAAAATGCTAATTTCTGACCGCAAAAATTTTGCGACAAATTTTTCGTACAAAAAAGACAATATTTTTAAAATTTTTAGAGATCTCATCGTATCCATTCCATCTCAACAGGGTTGTGTGATTTTTCAATAAATTCAACACTTCCATCTTCAAGCATATCACCATTTACAAACAATAATACCAATAATAACATAAATAATGAAAATTCAAATTTATTATTGTGGGATGAATATGACGAGGAGGAAATTCATATCGAGACAGAAAATAATGAGGGAATAGAGGAAGAAATAAATAATAAAAAAGTTGATCCTCCAAGACAAACACCCAAATTAATTGAAATTGATGATCTTCGGGAGAAGGAAGGGGGTGGTTATTGTGATTATTTGAAGGAACGACATTTGATGATTGAACAGGAGTTGAGAAGTTATGCACCTATGGTTTCGAAACATGATCGAGTGGTTTGTTTTAAAAATTTTTTTAGAAAATTGTAAAATGTCCAGAATTAAAAATGGTCAAAATTAAAAATGGCAAGGGCGTATCCAAGGGCGGCTGGGGGGGGGGGCGCAAAAATGGAAGAAATCTGTCTTCATGAACTTCAAAATTTAAAAAAATTTTCGCCTGCAGTGCTAAAAAATTAGAATATAAGTACAAAAAATTTGCGTGTATCACCAAAGTAAACGCTAAAATTTTTGTGCACCCCCAATGTTAGCCCCCTCCCTCCCCGAAACCAATCCCCGGATACGCTCTTGAAAAATGTCCAAATTTAAGAACGTCAATATTAAAAAATATCCATCTAAAAAATATTCTGGACAGTTCAAAACGTCAAAAAATTTTTTTTTAAATTTTAGCGTGCCACAGGAATAATAGTTCAAAGAACATTGCATTATGCAGTTATTTATGCTTCTGATATAGGATTAGCTATTGTAATTGCTAATTTATTTCCAAGGTTTTTTTAAAATTTTATTAATATACATAGGCGGGCCTCTTTATACCTCCTTGAGGTCCGCAAAAAGTGTCCGCAAATTTTTCATTATTCAGGGGCTAAGACTTTATTTAAAAAAAAAACTTTTAATTTGCCGGCATTTAAAAATATTTGCCTATAACGTTATAAAAAAAATTTTTTTTTAAGTTTACAACAATATGACACTTTATGTAATATTGGAAATTGGATAACAGCAACATTTGCCAATGTAGCAAATAAATCGCTAATATTTAGCAAAATGTGTTTAC